ACAAAGTATTTGTATTTTAAGGTGTTCGTAATAACTAGCTTGAAAATTGTACCTTAGCACAAAGACTTGGTTCTTGCCCTGAAGAGACTACAAACCAAGAAAGAAAGCACCATTTTGAACAGCAGGGAGTGGGATTAAGCAAAATATGTATAAAATATGCACAATTTTCATATACAGAGAGAGGTAGTATGGGGAAGATGTAAAGATGGCTGTGGGATCATATTAAAACCACATTAACTTGCATATTTGCAGTAACATTCACTCTGGTTATCTTCCATTAGTAAAAAATGCAATAGAGCAGACACAGATTTTTTCATTTGTAGGACCACAACAGAAGTGCATATATAGCTTCATTTTACTTTTTCCTGCACAAAACATGATGTCTACTTTAAACCTCATGGAAACATTATTTCTGGGCATCTTAAACTGAGAGAAACAAAAAACACAGAGATAGTAAGTATTCGCTCCCTAAAATTTAATGTTCTTTGTTATGTGTAAAATTCCCATTCTCTTTTTCCTCCTCACAGTGTTTTTATTTTTGAAAAGCGAACTAAACCGTAAAAAAGCTTAAAAAACATTACCATATATGAATTATCTGTCCTTTTAAATCTTCTCCCACTTTCTTTGTTACTCCCAAATCTACTTTTTACTAGTTAAGGGCCTCTTGCTTCCTTACATAGCCATGTGGCAACAGCTTTGCTGCAGATGGTGGATAATTTAGACACATTTAAAAAAAAAAAAAAAAAAAAAAGCTGAGGCCTCCTCTTCCCCCTCCTTTACTGATATCTCTGGCAGCAACACAGAGACTTCCCTGGGCCTGGAAGTCATTAAGGCACCCCTGAATGACCAGCCTTTTTTCTGGCCTTCAATCAACCTGCCTGAGAAACAGATGTTTAAATTGGACTTAAGTTTTTAAACACTAACCCTGTAATTTGCAACACAAAACTCTGACACAGTACAGGACCACATCACCACTATGTCTGTGTCTGCACAAAATAAGAACTAAGTTTTCTTGCACCTAATTTAGGTCTTTAACAATTCTTTCATGCCTTCAATGGTTGATAAAGATGACAAAAAAACCTCTTCTCTCTTACAAAGATAATACTAATTCTTGGCGTTCTGTTCACATTCTGTAACACAAAACAATTAAGGTGACAATCCCAAAATCAATGTAACAGCTAATGTGTATATAAAAAAGAAACAGATCAAAACAATTAACTGAAGAGTCAAGGCATTAATCCCAAAATATTTTGCAGACATTAGAAAAGCATGAAATAAACTCTGAGCAAAGTAATTTTCATCCCTCAACTCACTTATGTCACATCCAATTCAATATTAAATTCTCTGTTCTTGTGCACAAAAACATACCGAAGATAGCAGTAGTGTCTACATTTAATCACATAAAATTACTGAAGATGTGAAATGTCAATAAAGGAGTTATCTGTTTGAAAACAAAAAGTTATTGACCTTTGAATGAAACCTGCAGTTCATAAATGAATAGCTTGGACAGAACCTTATTCATTCCCCAACTACTCACAAAATCCATTAAACTAACCAACCA